CTGGTTTCCATAGTGTAGAGCAACTATTCCTGTGAAGTTCTATCATTTCTGGATGGAATGCTAGTAGACCAAACATTTTTCCTAATGTAACAGTAACACCTGTTGTGTTATGGTTATGTGTTCATTCTACAGTTTAACTCTCAATCTGAAACAGGTGTGAACTCAACCAACTTACTCACCTTAAATCACTCTCCTCTACCTTTCCCTCTAATCCTCCTACATACAGAGTAGTGATGGACTTGTCAGAAGGAGGCTCAAGGGATGGCATTGAAGATGCCTGTTTGAGTAACCGAGTTGCTACTGGATCACTCATTCCATAGTATCTATCCTTTATATTTTGATCAGCTAAAGGGTCATTGGGATCTGTGGGCATGTCATGCCTGAAATAAGCCAAGAGAGATGTAATAACTAGCTATATATATCTATATATAAATCTTGGTTATAATCTATGCCTGCAGTATAGTGCTTGATGTGATTGCAGAGCATGGTATATCTGAAGGTTGAACTAATCAATAAGACAACTTTTTCTGACTGTGAGTTTCTCACTTATGCGATCTGCATCATCAGACAGATGATCAAATATGTACATATAATCATATATATACACATACATACACCAATTTTTATAAAAAACATTGCATCATTGAAAATATTAATTAAATAAAAATATCTTTTGTTTTCTTGTCAAAAATTGTCTCTTTGATGAGAAAGCAAAAGATATATATATTTCATGTATATTTACAAATTGCAATGATTTTGAAAACAGGTATACATAAAGAGGGTACATTACAATGTGGTTGGGTGGTCTGTATGTCTCAGAGACTCTGTCAGTTATAAAGTTGAACATTATGATGTGGTTAGTGATCAAGCAACATAGATAGAGGCAGTTCCAAAGGGAACACTAAAGAAAAGTTGGAGGTGAATGTAACATCACAACTTTATCAAGATCTCAATAGTAGCAGTACCTGTATGGACATTCATCTCCACGCTTACACTCCCCCTTCACCCAGAAGGAACAGATGTGAGGTCTGTTCCTTTTGTAATAGGGTGTAGTCCTGGCCAGTTTCAATAGCAAGTCACTAGGTGCATTGGCTTTACCAAGTGTTCCACCAGGTGTGGTGCCATCTGAATTTGCTAACTTAAGATGAATCAACATAACTTTATCACTATGATTCTATGTGAAAGATTCAAATTTTATCTTTGTTCACTGTTTATGAACAAGAAGAATAAGATGTCATTTTCCTCAAATTCCTTATTACAGTTCAACAAGTTCAGGTGTTCCCCACTAATACATTTAATTTTGTTTTTCCAACAATATTAATTCAAACTTAATCATGTTTACACTATAAGAACTGACTATACTTGTACCAAAATTACAAGCATAAACTCACTTTTCCCAAATTTAACACAATGTTGTTGTAAGTTGTACATTTCTGCATTGCATTAACAGGAAAATCATTGCCAAGCTGGAAAAATTAGCAAGTAAATAAAAAATCTCAATAATTATAGCTACATACCTCTTTCTCTACATTCTGAGTGTAATACTCTTTATTAACATCAGATTTTGGAACATCATCTTTCATACCAAGGGCATGGTCCCTGACTTGTACTGGCAAACCTGGTGTGACATGGATTAGAAGGGAAAAAACTGTTGCAAAAATTGATGCCTCAATTTAAAAATTTGAAAATTACATTTCAGTCATATTTCTGTGTTTAGTCTAAATAAAAATGAAACATTGAATTGACAAGCAGCACAATGAACAAAAGAGTACTTGCAAGTCAACCTCTGTTGTGCAATTGCTGGCTATGTCACATTATGATTAGTAAAGACAATTGCTCATGGCCTCTCAAGCTCTTACAGAACTTCAATAAATGGAACTCTTTGACATATTGGTTCCTTTATGGGCTTTACATCCTTTGCACAGATATAACATTCATAAACTCTAACTCTCTCTTTATGATCAAACAGTACATTTCACCTGTGATTTTATCCCAAGACATCACAAAACTGTAGGATTTCTTTACCCTAGTTGTCAGCAGTTTTTAAAGGACAAAAGCTTGAGTCAATTGGTGAAGCACTATTTCCTATGTACAGTTGCAATGAACACTTTCCTTTGTAACAAAACTCACCATATTCAAGATCAAGTAAGCATGTTTGACAAACATTCTTTAGCTTTGAACATGTCTGACAGACTTCTGTCTTTTTAAACCTCATTCGTGCTCCAGGACACCAACGAAAAACTGTGAATGGTCTGGCACATATCTGAACAAACAACAACAAAGTATTGTGGAGGTTAAACTAATAAAAGACACTGAGCTCATACACTGTTTGAAACTGCAAAAATACATTGTTATCCTTTTTTTTAACCCTATAACTACATACATTATGCATACATTATCCAGGAAAGACCATGAAACAGTTAATGAGAATACTCAAACTTAACTGGTAGAAGTTTTCATCTTGATCTAACACCAAGGAAATGTGTAGCAGTAAGAGGGGAGAATTGACAATCAGATCTTAGGAGTTCATGGTCAAAACATTTGAAATAATAAAAATCCTCTCTGACCAAAGAATTTAAGTTCTGTCTATACTCAATCAATTCAACCCACCTTACATTCTCTGCCATATGTTTCCCTTGTCTGTGAATAATAGCAAGAAGAAGATATTGAACTCAAATGAATTATTTTTCACTGTCTAGGTAATGAAGTACTGAGTGGGTCAATCAATGAAAAAATAGCTTAAAAGTAGAGTAAAATGATTAAAATATTTTATTGTCAGAAAATCAGAATCTCTCCATTTTCTACTGATTTAGCTGCAACAGCTATGATTAGGTGGAAACTGTACAGTTGAAACAAAAGCAGAAGTGGAGGAACCAGCCATTATAATACCAATATGGCATTCTTCAAACATTGTGGGTGCGTACCACTCAAACAACCTAATCTAGTTTTCACAAGATCACAAGTCATGGTCATACGCCCCATCAGATACAATCTGCTCCCAGTTATGTCCCTTTGATTTTCCCTTGATCACAACATTGTCGCCCTGATTACAAATTCAACAGTCCTTATGAAAACATTAAATCTTCTATCCCAAAAACAGGATAATGATACTTAACCATTCGCACATAAGGATTATCGCCAAGACATGTTTGACAAAGAATGGGAAACTCCTGAAATGACATGGCATTTAGGATACGTTAGTAAAGATGCTACTCGAGCAATTGCCAAGATAACATGATCTGGGAAGGAACTTTCGAAAATATTATTTGTGACTGATAAGTACGAGGTGATAAGACGATTAATAAAATTTATGTAGGAGAATAAAGTAGAATTGATCGGGTAGAGGGACTAGGGTAAAATAATGAAGAAATAAGTTCACATATAATGATAAACTTATGGCAGCGTGAAAGCACGTGAATTAATGATCAGCACACTTGACCGCAGAAGCCACCAGAAAACATCTAGGTATCAAAGCCTATAGCAGCTATTATCTAGATACTTCACAACTAAATTACATAAGACGAACAACAAAGTTACTTGCCGCGTTTTCCCAATTCTGACGATTGTATGTGTTCGCACCTTTCGAGGTCGCCATGTTGAAACATTCTACAGTATTGCGGGCTCAAAATTAGAGTTGCTCTCGGTGTCGCTTCTATAGTGGGTGTAACTGTCATAGAGTGGCTCCCAAACAGAACAGAGACATTGAAAGAACCGGTCATTTATAGATGTACATTTTCATACTCAAAGCGGAATTTTGACGTTAACCCTTGGATTAGCTGTGACTAAAAATGCATAGGTACAAAAAAAAGTTCCGAACGCTTCCAGTAAGAGGGACTCGGAAGTCGAACCTTCATGACTTCTCATGTTTTTTTTGGGATGCTACATCAGATCATTGAGCCAAGACGTTCGTCTTCTACATTGTGCGTACTTCTACGATTTCAGCGGGTGTGATGTGTCTGCGTATAAATTACTCTTTACTGCGCAGAAACGTTAGAACTCAAAGGAAAGACTTTATCTTTTGTATGTAACGCAACACTGTGACTGTTTGCGTTGCGAGGCAAACCATAAATGACACCACATTGAAATAAAAATTATACCTGACTGAATTCATCTTCTTTCTTATTCAAGCGACCTCGCAGCAAAATGAATAACCCATTCTTCGAAGGTCTCGATGATACTTTCGGGCAGTGGGAACAGATGCATTCAACGAAGTCATATCTTGAATGCAAAAGGTGTGAGTTGGTCCCGCGTCAGAAACTATTAAGACATAGGAGAGGGTATTGAGACTTTTATTGGTGACTCCTCGGGAGTGCTCTCTTCCTACAACTCGTTGGCAGAGTCAAGGTAGAAGAAAAATTGATTTCCATAATTGGTAATCTGCGGCACATTTCTAGCTGCAGTAAATGACCATCTACCTACATTGAATCGTCCTTAGGCTGTCTTTACCGGTGCTGCAGCGTGGGTACGTAGTTAATTCTGTAAAGAGCTCACACAGCAGACATTTCAGGCGTTAGCCTTCAGTCTGTGCCTAATATGTCCGAATGTAAGATAGGTCGCCCCCGCGGAACAAAGCTGACCTTACGTAACTTTACCTGCGATCGTAAAATTACTTTGTAAGTCACACAAGAATCCACTCAACATTTATTTCGCAATGCAAATTTCACTGAAAATCCCGCAAGTTTCGCAATTAATGAATGGTCTGCACATTCCTAGCTTTCTATTCAAAAAGAGCTAACAAAAGTATCGTAAACAAGATGGCTTACGACCTCAATAGAGAAATTGTCGATGTCTTTTTGTCCTCCGGAGGCTATTTCTGCAGAAATAATAATTTCAATGTTAGTGAAGTTTGTCTCTCAGTCATTCACTACTCACGTGCGCCAATGATCTAAAAGGAGAAAGGTCTCACATCATTTTTCATGCTGACAGTTTTGGCCAATCAGATAGCTAGTTCCAGTATACCAGAGGAATCGGGCGGTCACCAAGAAACTATACAAGAAAGGGTGGAAAGCTGGCATGAGTCACATTTTAAATAACGCGAACTTTAGCGAAGAATCTATTTTTCCTTCACCGAAGCGATTCAAGATGAACACCACAGATACACAGAACAACACATTCCTCTTCACCTCTGAGTCCGTTGGTGAGGGACATCCTGGTAAGTTTTAATTCTTTGCCCATCATCTTCTCGTCCTTTTCTGCACAGGTTGCCATTAAATGTCCCATCGTGACATAGAAGTTCATCTCCTCAACTTTCAATTTTGACCGACATGTGTTATTTCTTCGTAGACAAGATTTGCGACCAGGTTTCTGATGCTATCCTGGATGCTCATCTTGAACAGGATCCTGATGCTAAAGTCGCGTGCGGTAAGTGAAGGAAGAGTGGGTCAGGGTTAGCTTTGTTTTAACAACAAAAGTGTACGCAACTATTTGTTGTGCTAGAGCTCGGAACCTGCTTGAAATGCTGGGCGGTCGAAACTTGCCGATAACACACCAGTTTGAGAAGGCCAATCTGATCACTAAAGCTGAATTGAAACATCGGCTGTTGAATGAAATTTGTTAAATGTCTAATTTCGTTCATAAACTACGATTTGCCTTGTTTAGGCAAGGGGAGAGCTTTTTGCGAATGAGGTCAGAAGAACTGATTTCCCCGAAATAATCAATTACGGTTGGTCTTCCCCATATTACACCGAATCCTCGTTGTTTGAAGATCTCTTTATTTATTGTGTTTTCTCGATTTCTTGTCTCCGTGGCAAAGCGTATTTTTGGTGGCCAACCGTTCCTATACACATGGCAGTAGTTTCCCGGGACCAAGTAAAATTGCGTAATAAGATATATTCAATATTTGGGAAAATCGCATGAGTCTATGCCGAAGCTTTTTTAACTTTCTCACAATTTATGCTTTCCAAAGGAAAATTTTCCATTCTATGTTTACGCTTTTTGCGGTTTTTGTGTCGTATTTTTTTTTGGTATCTCCTGCGTAAAACTTGGTACAACTCTTGCTAAACCGGTTCAGATGTAAACACGACACGTTGTAAACTTTTACGCACGTAGTACTACTAATTTTATTTCGGAGAAATGACGATTACGCATATTCGCCTAATTTTAATTTTATTATGCCTTAAAACAAAGATCGTGAATATTTTGACACAACTGTGGTGATGCACTTCAAATCGATCGCGAAAGTACGAATCTGATCAGATTTTTGATTCATTAAGTGCATCACCATAAATTTCGCACTTCACATATCTCGAAAGACCTGTTTCGGTATGAAATGGATTTCTATTTCCAGTTGCGCCAGAATAACAAGAAAAAGCCCGTTGCGGTAGTTATGCCTGTTTTCTGAAAGTTATGCCCTCGGCTGGGGAAGTAAATCACAAAATTCTATGTCCATAACTGAACACGAGATAGTGACGCGGTCATGTAGAGAGGTGATTGTTTACAAAATTGGCTTCACTAAATTCATATTACAGGTCAAACTGTTTACCTTTATTCAATAACACAAAATATACATTCAAAGACTGGACGTGGCAACTGATATACACAATTTTTTTTTTGTATTGAAAAGAACTAAAGGTTGTATAAAGGGCAGGCTGCAAGTGACAATTGTAAATGGTGTTCCTTCAGGAATACTTCCAGTGTCATACAGTATACCGCAAGGGTCAGTTGTGGGACCTACGCTTTTCTCAATGTTTACGAATGACTTGCCAACATGTGTAGTGTCAGGATCGGTGTATATGTTTACTGATGACACTACCATTTATTGCATCGGTACATCAGCAGATGAAGCCACTGCACAACTAAACTTAGCAATGCACGAGCTGTATTCATGGTGTCTCGCTAACAAGCTAACACCCCACCTAGGTAAAAGCAAAGCAATGCTCATCAGCAGAAAGACCCCTATAGGGCCTATTTCT